GATTCGCGGAGTTGTGCGATTCGGAAAGAGAGGGAAGCTGCACCCTCGTTTCATCGATCAGTTCGAGGTTGTCGAGCGAGTAGGCGAGGTCGTGTATCGTCTAGCCCTACCTCCCGAGTTATCAGGCATTCATAACGTATTTCACGCATCGATGTTGCGTAAGTACGTGTGCGACCCCGATCATGTTATCCCTCATACGGATATTCAGGTTCAGCCAGATCTGTCGTACGAGGAGCGACCGGTAGCAGTACTAGACCGTCAGGTCCGTCGGCTCCGGAAGCGAGATATTCCCCTTGTGCGCATTCAGTGGGATCGCCACGGAGCTACTTGGGAGAAAGAATCCGGCATTCGCGCTCGTTTCCCAGATTTTCAGTTTTGATGTACATATTTCTTTATCCTATGTACATAGTTCATGTATTCTCAGCTATGCTTTGAATTTCCGAGGGCGGAAATTTTGTAAGGAGGGAGGATTGTAATATCCCGATATTTTATCGGTATAAATTATGTTTAATTCTGATATAATAATGTTATCGTTTATTATTGTCGAAATTAATTATGTTCAGTCGAGATTACCGAAATGTATTTTCGACGTACCGTTTACATTCGAAATAATTTTGGTAATTAAGCATTATGTTTAATTAAATAATTAAACATAAAGTAAGTGATTAATTATAAATTAATCACAGGTAAAGCCCATTAGCCGTGAGATAATAAGTAATTGGTCCCAAACTTTGGTATTAAGCCGTGACTATATAGCAATTTTCCCTAAATTTTGAGTTTAGACCGTAACTCCTTCAAGGTGAAGAAATCAAGCAATGATTCATCCCCTAAGCAACACACGCGTCATCAAGCAAGAGAGCAAGAGTGGGTTAATCATCCATAAGCACTTCTTTAATTGGCAAGTGTATGGCTAACATGAAGCCACATAGCACCTATATCATCACTCTTTCTCGGCCTTAGTATATAGGAAAGGAGTTGTACGAAATTTCCTCACTTTTCCCGTGTGATATATTTAGCATATTCAAAGCTTTAAGTTTAGCAAACAATCTCCCTAAATTTCCATCCCCACACGGCCTAAGTATATAAGGTAGCAATTGAATTAAAATTTTCCCAATTTTTTTTTTCCTTATAAGACATTCAGCATATATTAGCTCTTTACAGCACTATTAAGTTCAAGCATAAATCCTTCAATTCCTCATTAGATCGCACGGTTAGTGAAGAATATACGCACCGGACGCACACGCAAGATAAGGAGTCGCCTATTTTCCGATTTTCGTCGAACGAACGAAGAGGTAACATCCTCCTCATTTCGTATTCATGTTGATAAGGTCACAACAAGGTTTAGTGTTTGATTGATTTTCGAGAATTTCAGGTAAAGTCATGCTTAAGGCCGAACATGTTTAAGTAAGGTCACGACCGAGTTATTTTCAATTTCTTCCAGCAACTCTCGAACCATTAACGTTTAATTGTTCAGCTTAGCCTATTTTATGTTCAGTAAGTTCAGTTTTTTCAAGTAAAGTCGGAGTTTGGTTGATAAGTTGGCCCCCGCCGTCGCTAGCGCCTATCGCGCGTAGCCACGGGCGGCCGCAGTCCGAGTCTTAGTGATTTCAGTACTGATCATATTGTCCGTGTATTTATGTTTTAAACTGCTTCATATTGATGTTCATGACATGTTGTTCTGAAGTTGCCGAGTAGATAGGGGTTGTGGCCAAGAGATGGCGTATAGCCGTCGGCGGCGCACGGCGCGCTCGCCGCGGCCCTCTCATGTTTAACGTGCAATGGTTGTATTTTCAGGTTGTTATATTCATGTTAAGATATATTGGGTTCAGTCATATTAAATTGGTCGAAACACTTTCAGTTTGGTTGAAGTTTGGCCGAAGGCCGTAGGCCTCGCACGTAGCAAGCCTACCGCGGCCGTGAGTTAAGTCTAGCAAGCGAATTCAGCAATTTCGTTATAAATTCAGTTTATTGTTCATGTTAGGTCATAACATGTCAAATGAAGTCATTTCGGTCGGTAAAGGT